CACAGATTTCAGGAAGTTGACCTGAGTGCAGAAGCATTTTTGTTAAACGGAAGCACACGAGAGGAGATTTGGCATGCAGCCATCGTAGATGCATTAGGAGAAAAATCAGATAATTATTTGAAGGTATTTGACGTTATCCGGGTTTCAATTGGTTATTCATTAAATTTTTTCACCGGATTAACCAAACTGTTATAGTTGGTATCTAAACAATTGGTTGGAATACTCCTAATGATATTTGTGAAGAAAGCACACATGCCGTATATAAAAGAAGTCCGAAATGATTGTGTGGGAGTGGGGTTGATGGGCATGATGGTTAGACTTTTGATCTCGCCTTTCTCTTCGTTCACAATTTTCCTCTTTTTTCATCTCACCTTCCCTCCATGACCTAGGGTAATAAGGGTGGTACCGCCATAAGGTTTCAATTTTATGATTCGTTTTTATGCTTTGTGAATTGTCACCTGGCGGCGGATCCAAACGGACTGGAAAGAAGAAATCAAGATTATATGGAAATATGTCGACGGATGACTTTCCCCCTTAACACGAATGAAGGATATTCTTCACTATATGGCTGGGTCGGCGATTACATATCGCCTCCAGCAAAGTATGCGGCTGCCGCTGTCGTCGGTATGGGGGGTATGGTCGGTATACCCGGTATCGCTTCATTGGTTGATACTTCTCCAAGCCCCGTGGGCGCAGGGAATGTGTTATCCATATTTGATAACGAGTATGCAATTTTTTCTTTCATGTCTGATGTCAACATCTCTGGATGAAAATACTTTGGATTTATTGACGCAATCTCAGTCATCTAATTTGGCTGGGAGATCTGAATTATAGGATCGATGCGCTACCGGAATATAAGGTCAAGGAGATGGTGGATAACAATGAGCTAGAAGATTTGCTCCATTTTGATCAGGTATGCGACTTGACCTTTTCGTGCTCACATATTGTCTCACATATTGTACAGAGAGAATCTAACAATGGATCTGCACTCGTGACATCTTCAGCTTAATATACAAAGAATGAAGCAGCAGGCATTTTCTGAGTTCGAAGAGGGTAAAATCACCTTTAAGCCGACCTACAAGTATGACGTTGCATCAAGAGATTTTGATAAGAGGTACTATCAAATGAAATTTTTACGCGCCAATAATCCAATTCACTAATTGCACATTTCATTAATAAAGTGACAAAAGGAGAATACCGTCATGGACGGACAGGATATTGTGGAGAAGTATAAAAAGTGAATGGTGTAAACAACTGATATACAGGAGTCACATGGATATTGGGATCAGCGACCACAAACCGGTCAGCGCGGTATTTGAATTGAAGGTTGGTTGGTTTGATTATCACGTTTCGTTATTTCATCGTTTCGACATACGCTCACATTCAATTCTTATCTTTAGCTGAGAATATGTCCACCCGAAAAAGAGGATGATGACATGATCATGCATGACAATGTAATTATATTGAAAGATAATGGATGTAAATAATCGTAATTTGTGTGACGAAATAAAATGTATTTATAATTTATTACGAACTTCTAATGATAATTTATTATAAACATCGAATTTTCAAATATGTTACATTATTTCATGTTGTGAAAGTGCACCTGGAGATCATCCCAGATCCCGTTGGCCAAAGTAATTTCTCACTATTGTAATTATCATGTTTATCGAAGCCAAAG